CCCGCCAGGCCAGGCCCTGGGGGAATTCCCTCCTTCCGGCTCCCCTCCTCTCCTGCCCGCCTTTCCAGCAGCTGCAGGGGGCCCTTGGGGCTGGTGGCTTTTGCTTCCTGAGGGGGATCCCAGATCTTCAGGGAAATTCCCTCTCCTTCCACCCCTGGGGTAGGGGCCAGGAGTAGGGGGGTGCCGGCCCCACTACATCCCGGCCCCAAAGCCTCTGGCCTCCCTCCAGGCAGGGGAAGGGGGTGCAATGAGTCTGAGAAAGCCCTATTCCACACTCCCCCACACCCAACCCTACAGCCCGTTGTATGGAGCCAAAGGCGAGGGAACAGGGGCCGAGGAGAGAGCCCCGCCTGATGTCGGCTGGGATTTATTCTGCCCTGTGCTGAGTACTACGGGTTCCTCTTAGGAAAAGTGAGCTCCAAGAGGAGCCAAAGCTCTACCTGAATACAGAACAGAGCCCAGAGAGAGCCAGGCTCTCAGTCCAGTGAAAGTTCCCAGGCCTCCAAGGGAGATGGTTATGGGATCACAACCTATCCACCCCCACCCAGCTTGCAACCTGCTCTACATCTCCTCCCAAAACCCCTTGCTATTATCCTCACCCAAGACTCTGAGGAAGTTGACCACCTCCTCCCACCCCTCCACCCCAAAAACACACCCTCAGATAGGGAAGGCAATGATCTAATCCAAGTCCTCAAGCCTGGGCAATAGGGCCATAAGAGAGGGGCCCTGCGCCTCCAGGTCCTAAAGGGCTCCAAAGCTTGCATGTGCAGCCTGTGGTGTCAGTACCATGTGGGAACCAGCCCAATGCCTCCCCAGGCTAACAGCTCCAGAACATCTGCTTCCCACAGGCAGCAGCCATTAATTAACCAGTTTAACGAGGAGGAGGGGAAGGAGGCACCATCGGTATGGGCTGGGATGGTAGCTAAGCTTGGGAAAAGAACTGTGTGGACAGGGTAGGCTGGGTGGGAGCTGGACGTGACCTTAGGGTGGGTGTGCCTCAGTTTACCCCGCCTCTAAGCCAAGATGGGAATTGCTGAATCAGCTCAGAGTATTCGTGGAGGAAGAAGATGAACTTGCATGGGCTAAGAGCCCAAGAGAAAGGGAAGTGAGACAGAGAAGATGTTGGCCAGAGTGAGAGGAAGCCAGGAACAAGGCCTGAGCAGGCCAGCCAGGGTCAAAGGAAGGGATGGTGGGGATGGAATCGCCAGGAAAGGAGGGTGCTGGGCCACCATGCAGGCCAGCAAAACATCAGAGTGTAGACTGACACTGCAGAACAAAAGAGCACAGGCTCAGAGCTCAGCTGCCTAGGGATGAATCCTACCTCAACCACTTTCTCACTGGTGGCATCACCTTGGGCAAGTTTCCTGGTCAAACTACCTGGCTTCCATATCTGAACATAGGTTAATAATAGTGCCCACTTCATAGGTAGCTGTAAGAATTAACCAGGCTAGTATGTAGGAAAGTGCCTAACACATAATAACCACTCAATAAATGCAGGCTATTATACTTTCCTTTCTTCTCCTTTTTATTTATTCATGTATCATTTGTTTATTTTTATTTAACTTATTATTTTTTGGAGACAGGGTCTTGCTATGTTGCCCAGGCTGGTATCAAACTCCTCCTGCCTCAGCCTCCCTAGTAGCTGGGATTACAGGTGTAAACCACTGCACCCAGTTTATTTCATTTATGTTTTAATGAATGACCTTTGAGGTGGTGTGAACATTTGAGGATAGGAAGGAAGGAGGAAAGCAACCATAACACAGTTCCACAGTAGTTCCTAGAAACCTCACTTAGCTCCATCATTTTGCAGGAATCTCTCATTCTAGACTGCACAGAAAGGCTGGGCGAGGAGATCACCCAGTCATGGATCGTTAGAGTTGAAGGGACCTTAGGGGAGATCTAGTTCAACCTTCTAGATCTACAGGGGAGGAGTGAGATAGCTACTCCAGGCCTAGACTCCACAGGTCCTGACTGCCCTCCCAGTCCTGTCCAGGTGGTCACCTGAGGATGTACAAGGATCAGGTTGCTTAGCAGGGCACAGGGTTATTTCATCCCTGCATCCCAGGCCCAGTCCAGTGCCTGGCACACAGTAGGTACTTTATGCATATTTGTTGACTGAATTGGGGGGGGAGCAATGGAAAGTTTGCTGAGATGGGAAAGCAATGTGGTCCCCAGAAGAGAGGTAGGCCTAGGGGAAGGGTGTGCCTAGGCAGAAGGCTTTGGAGAGGGCCCAGGGGGCGGGGCTCTCACCTGCCTCCCGACTCGGTTGTTGTGGAGCCTCATGCGCGCGTGGATGTCTCTGTGAGGCTCCCGGGAGTCCAGAAAGTCCTTAGAGAAGCGCTCCCCGAAGCCCACGTCGGGGCTGCAGCCGCCCCACTCCCAGGAGTCCTGCAGGCCGGGGCTGGCTGGGGGTAAGGCCGGGTGTTCCGGGACCCCATGACTCAGGCCCTTACCGCGCTGAAGCGCGTCCAGCTGTAAGCGGTGCAGCTTCCGACGGAAGGCCTCCTCGTCCCCACGCCGGGATGCGTCGCAGCCGCAGGCCCGCAGTTTGCCCAGGGCGCACGCGTTGGACACAGCGTGCACCACGCCGGCTGCCGCGATGGCGTAGGCAAAAGCGCTCTCTCGGAAACCTGCGGTTAGAGACCCAGAAAACACAGACTCTAGAGGGGCCTCGGCAGCCCATCCCTCTGGACCCCCTGCCCAACCTTCTCGTCCACACCGAGGAGAAACTGAGGCCCAGTGGGGGCGGGGAAGGGCCTGGCGCAGGGGCACCGAGTCAAAGAAGGGCAGAAATCACACCAGAAGCCAGATATCCTGCTCACAGGCTCAAGGGGGCAGTTCTCCCCCATAGCCCTCTCCTTTCGCACTCCCTTCTCCTTTTAATTGACATCACCCTTAGCAAGCTCAGAATATGTGTGTCGACATCTCTCCTGTAGGGCAGAAAGTATCTGGTAAACACATTCTTTTTAAGATCAGGGGCTTAATCTATTACCTCTCATGGTGATATCTGTAATTTCAAAATATGCCTGCAGAAAGAAGGCAAAATTTAATCTAAAGAATAAATTGCCAGTGATGGGATCCCAGGCCTCAGGTAGGAGGGTAAGTGGAAGGAGTAGGTCAGCTCCTAATGCTCCCTGCCAGAAGATAGCCTGCCTGGTGTGTGCCCACTTAGGTCCAGCACAGCACCCTCCCAGATGGCCAGATTCCAGAGGCAGAGGAATGAGTCAACAGAGCCTCTCCTTCCCTGTCCACAGGGCATCCCTGAAAGCTGCTGAGAAGTGGGCACCACCCAGCCATCCTGCCTGTGGTCCAAGTCAGCTGAATAGGTGATGTTAGAGGTAAGTCCAGGGTCCTGTACAGGGTCTGGTCTGGCATGTAGTGGTGTTGAACACTGGGAGAGAAGGACAAGTGAAGGCAGATACCTTCCACCAGATATTCAGGAGGCACAAAGAATCTCCCTGACCAAGCCACTCTCAGGGCCATGGCTGGGCCAGCCTGGTCACTGACTTGTTCACGTGTCTGCCTTCTTGGTGCTCCAGTCTGAGCCATCTTCTGGGGATGCCTTAACCTGTGGCAGGGAGATGTATACTTGCAGAGGTGGGTCCAGCTCTCAGACCTGCGGGTACCTCTTTCTTATTATGTGTCTGAGAAAGGACCAGTTTGGAGCAAGTTCTAGTACTAGCCTCTGCCCAGCCTCTGTACCTCCAAGAGAGCAAGCAATGGGAGGAGCTAGGATCAAGAATAGCTTCCACACAGGAAAGAGGATCCACCCGCCATGTGGGCCTCTGTGGGAGAAACCCAGCCCCTGGCAGGAGGCCGATGACCGGCCTTTGGGAAGGCCAGAGTTTCAGAGGAAAAAAAAAAACCTCTGCATCCTTCCATCATCAAAGACTGGGTAGACATGATGTCGGAGGCCTCACTGACCCCAGAGTGACAACAGGGACTAGACAGAGCCCTATCCAATCCCACCCTAATCCTGGTTCCCAGCATCATAGAGCTCTGTCCATCCCTTCTTGTCTAAACCTGGGGGGGGGGGGTTGGGACACGACACGACACGACACAAGCTGTCCAGCAGTTAAGAACTGATCTCTGAAGCCAAGCTTCCTGGGTTCTTGGCTCTTCCACTTACTAGCTATTAATAGCTATGTGACCTTGACCAAGTGACTTAACCTCCCTGTGCCTCAGTTTTTTCATCTGTAAAACAGGATTATTATCTGCCTCACTGTTGTTCCAAGGATTAAATGAGTTAGCAAATTCAAAGTGCTTAGAATAGTGCTTTATTCATAGTGAGTACTACATAAACATTAGCTATTATTGAGTTCTTTCTGCTGTCTGAACTCACTCACTCCTGTGGTCTTTGGGTCATTGTTTTTTGCTTTACCTTTATCAGGTACCGAGTCCAACAGCTCATGGCTCATTCTAAAATAGATCACTTGGAACACCAGAAGGCAGCCTCTCCCTCACTATCTTTTCTTTCCAGCTCATGGCATCTCAGTACCTTTTTCCATAAGGAGCCCAGCTATGAGCAGACAGGAGGGGATGGGCGTTGGGCTGGAGCCTTCAATGGGGTTGCTGGGAATTGGCAGGAGCTGCAGAGGAAGAGAAACTGCTCTGGGGCAGTGGGGCCTAAGGGGAGGAGGGTGGACCCAAGTCCCTTGGTAGTACACCCTGCATTTATCCCTTGCCTTTTATCTGTGGAACTGAGCACTTCTCTTATTGCTGGGGAAGTCATCAGCCTGCTTCTAGGACACATGGCAATACTCAGCAGACCTACAGAGGCAGCCCAGGCCTCAGAAACCACCCCCACACAGACACTACCACCACCACCACACACACACACACACACACACACACACACACACACACACACACACACACACATTTGCAAAAAGAGAAAGCCCAAGGTCACAGAAGTTATGGACCTGAACCCAGACCCAGCTCTCCCAGCTCCCAGGCCTGGTAACTTTCTGCTGAAGGACGTTTGGCTCGAAGGAAGTCCTGAGGCAGAGAAAGAAACCCAGGTAGTCCAGTTTCCAGTTCCTGTGGACTTGTCTGCCTATGGCACCAGGAAAGAGCAAGTGGCTGGTCCAGGGTGTGGTGGAAGTATGTACAGGGCCAACCACCACCTTCCAGGCTCTGTCACATTCAAGGCTAGCATGGAGGAATATGAAGAAATGTAGCCCACAGCCTGCAGAGAACACCCCTACTACATGCAGCTAAAGATGCCTTTCCCCATACTACTCTGTGTCCTCTGACAGCTGTCACAGCCACGTGCAGAGGTGACCAGGCATGGCCTATGTGGCTACCCTCTGTTTCATCCAGGCCTCAGAGAAGTCCAGCCCACTGGGTCTGCCCCCAGCTCCTGTTCAGGGCCCCAGTTTCGGTCCTGGCCCTGACTGTCTGGGGTAGACACAGGCACTGTGCCATCTGGCCAGCTGGAGGGGGAGGGGGTGGGGCCATGGCCAGCTGGGCTGCCCAGAGCAGGGGGGGTGCTCGTTAAGACGCACAATTAGCCACCCTGCCTTTGATCTGGGACAGGGACTGCCAGCATCTAAGTGGAGTCAGCTGCTGCTACAGGCCGCAGCCAATGGCCAGGAAGGGGCTGGGGGAAGAGGTTTGGAGGGCAGGGGAGTGTGGAGGAGAGAGGATTCAGGAGCTAGTGGGAACCAGGAGGGGGTAGAGAAGCCTGAACCCTGCCCATTCAAGTCAAAGAGAGAAGGAAGGGAAGAGATCTGGTCTCCATTCCCTCCGTGTAAATAATCTGAGCGCTGCTCATGTGCCTGGGCAGAAAGAGAGAGACTAGTGTGCATGTGGGAATACTTAGGCGTGACACTGAATGGAGTCACACATTTGTAAAAACAAGGGTAGTGTGTGTGTGTGCGTGTGTGTATATGAGTTTCATTTGTGGACATACTCCCCATTGTTACCAGCTTAGCTCTCTGGGCACACAGTGGGCACTCATATTGGCCTCGCAGCTTGGGAGATAGTATGACAGTGGATTGGGTGCTAAAGTCAGCTGGCCTGCATTTGAGACTTGGCTCTGTGTCTTAGTTTCAAGCTGTGTGGCTAATGACAAGTTACCCAACCTTCCTTAACTTCATTTGTAAAATGAGGATAATAATAGGACTATTTGAAAATCCTAAAGCGTGAATAAAATGCTGTAGAACAGTGCCCAACACACAGCAGGTGCTTAATACATGTTGGCTAATTTATTGGGTATCATTTGAACAATAGAACCATAGATAATCCTGGGATATGAATGCCTGTGCCTCGGTTTCCCCATCTAAGTAACACCCCAAGACCTGGAGACCTAGGCATAAAATCAAGACTCTCTGAGGATGAATTTACAAGGGAGAGGGAAGAAAAATGAGCCAGGACCTTGGGGAGCACAGCCTGGACGTTCACTCTGCTGGTTTCCCTGGGCTGGGAGCCTGGCTGCAGGGCCTCACACCCCCTCTTTCCATCCATTCCAAATGGGTCTGGGCTTTAGGGAGGGCAGAACATAAACTGTGTGAGCACTCCTAGGGCCTGCTTTGTGGCTCTCCCACACTCCCCTCCCTCAAGCCTCTCTCTGACTTCTCATCCCCTCTCACTCCTCAAATTTTCCTCTCGTCTTCACATCCTGAGTGAAAAATGAAGGAGTTCTTGCTTTCTCACAATGAAGAGCTCCCCTCTAAAAGACTCTCTGCCTGGCACCCAGCCCAGGCATCAGCTATCTAGGTCCTCAGTACAAAAAAGCCGGGGTTACCAGTGCCATTGGCACATAGGTCATTGTTGCCAAAGGGTTAGGAAAGCAGCCAGTATGGGCTTTGCAGCCTCTCACAGTTTTTTCTGACCCTGGAAGCCCCATCCCTGTCTGCCACCCCCTACAACCCCCCTCCAGGCTCCAGTGGCACCCTCCCCCCCATACCCTCTCTTTGGCTGGGTAAAGCCCTAGTGTATGCCTTGCCTTCCCAGGCTTGACCACTCCAGGTATGCAAGTGCTCTTCCCCCTCCCTCCTTCATCAGAGCCCCATCCCTTCAGCCCAGCCCATCTAAGGGACGTTGTCAGGACAGTTAGATGACAGTCATATCATTTAAAAAGGCCCAAAGCATCTCCCCCCATCAGTCTCTGAAGCATGGCAGCATCCACATTTAAGAGAATCCCAGTTGCAACCGGGATGAGAAAAGGGGTCAGCACCCTGATATTCCACTTAGGGGAGAATGAGGTCACCTGACCCCACAATGGAACATCCATAGCTTGAAAAGAAGGGAGATTCCGCATGGAAGGAGCCAGACCAGGGGCTGGCTGCCACCAAGTGTGGCCTCATGGGACCCAAATTTAGTTAGTCCTGAGATGGGCCAAGATGGACCAGAAAATGGCCCTGGAGGACAGTGAACCCAGCTGTGGTGTGGAGGAGGGGTGCAGTGGTAGCCAGTGGAGGAGGGGTGTGGCAGCTTTCCTTCCAGAAGCCCAGAGTCCCTTCAGAGGAGGGAAAGGTAGCAATGAGGTGCAAGGTGTCGCAATGGGTGTTGGGAGGCAGGAGCCACAGAGGTAGGTCGTTCTGAGCCCAAGAGCCCAGCCTCCCTGCTGGAGCCTCGGAGCCACTGTCCCACCCCGCCTCGCGCCGGGCGCCTCCCCGTCCTGGCTAGCCCTGGCAAGTCTCCCCCCTCCATCTCCAGCCTCTCCTCCCACCCATCCCCCCAGCTCACCTCCCGCTTATTAAACTGCAGGTGAACCCGGGAGCCCCTGGCGCCCCGCCAGCCCCGCGAAGCTCCTTCGCTCCCAACTCGCCCCCAAGCTTCCAAGACCT